GCTAACAGAATCACTGAATGAAAGCCTATCAGCAGAAGATAGGCAATCATTTGCCTGAAGTTACATGCTGAAGCTTTCACCTGGTTACATGTTTATGGGTCCACTTCGCGGTGATGGAGCAGGGAACATGAGTCCTTGCTACAGGATGGAATCCGTCATTCTAATGCGGTTTCAGTGTGCATTTCCAGGTTGAAACTGAAAAGCGGAAAAGCGGAACTCGAAATAACGGCCATAGCTAACGCAGCAGTAGCGGTTAGGTGCAAATAGCGGACTGTCTGTTATGAACACTTCTTTCGATGATCGAAACGTGCATCAGATGCTTGATATAGGGAAGCTTGTACACAGAATCGATGATCGATGCGATTTGATAATCGTATCCTTTGATTGACATACCTCTCTAATGAATGTTCGCATTAAGAGAGACGCAGATCTGTAAAGTGATCATTATCTTGTTATTAGTACCCTCCGCTGTAGACGTTGAAGTTCCATGCAATGACCTGATGGCAGAAGCAACCAGAAAATCAAACCGTAAGCAATATCTTTTATGAATACGACGGCAACAAATGCAAATAACATCACACGATGGTTTCAACATATCCAAGTGATGACCGCTAATGTAGCAACATTGTGCTTACTCGAGGCCGCAGTAAATACGCGTTGGCCTGCCGCCTGGTGGTCAGAAACGAACTTTCTCGTAGATACGAGTGACTCAGGTGACTGTAACCGAGAAGTCTGTATTCAAGACTTGGTTAGGAGGCAAGGAGCCTTCAGCTCGAATGTGGTACAAAAAAGTGCTCAAGGCAGCCCCGAATGCAGTATCCAAAGTTGATAACCTTGAAAAATTCAGTGAAGTGTTGATGTCGAATTTTCATAGGACAAACTAGATTTTCTGCCGGACTATGCGCCACCTCCAAGATAGAAAGAAGGGCAGTTTTAAAGGTTCTAAACGACAGATTCTGACGCCCTCTTATCAAGGCTGAACATATTCATCGTCGCTGGAGACCGTTGTTGGAGGAGATCATTAACCCCGAGCAAGTGCAAACTCGCCTTAAAAGCAGCATCTAACGGTTATTAATCATTCAGTAGATAAAGTCAAAGAAGCTTGAAAAATTGTAAGGCTGTTGGAATAAAGAAATCTGCCCTGAAATCCTTTGGGCTTTAT